TATACGTCTAGATCTAAATGCGATTCGAACTGTCGATAAAGAGATAAGGGGATATACAAATTTGTACAAGATAATCCGTACTAATAATGTTTCCGTGATGTTCGAAATAATAATGGATACGATAAACTGCGCTGCTAAAGAGTCCATATTGGATTACAAAGGGAATTGTCATGGTAAGAATTTTCTTGGGACTCACCCCCTTCACGACTTTATGTATAGAATCAAATGTAAATTACTGAACGATAAACTCAATGATCCTTAGACGCATAACGCTAGCACATTAATAATATAGACCATAGATAATCGTGAGATTAAACGAGCGCAGAATGTATCGTTGCCTCCGGCGATTTCTTCGTTTCTTTCCGTTCTCGGTTAATTCTCTGTCATGGCCGTGCGCGAGCGATCTTTCTCTCCCCCTTTCCCCACCACGTCCATTCTTGTCCTTAGGATTCTCTTTGCTGTCAAGCTCGATATTTTAAGATTTCATGTATTCGATGGGTTGTCAACAGTCTTGATTTGTCCGCTTTATTTGTCGAACATCGAATGAACTATTGGCTAAGGCTGTTTGTTGTTACGGAAGATGCTGCATTTAAATTTCTAAGAACACGATTTTGGAAAAAGCTTCGAAAGATATAAAAAAAATTAAATAAATAAAGATAAATAAAAAATAAAATGAATTGCACACTTTAGACCAAGGAAATACAAAAATAAAAAAAGGATGATATTTTGTTAATTTTAGGATAATGCGGATATTTATTGTATTATTTTATCAATAGATAATAAATAGATGTGTTTGAATTTCAAGAGACATGAGAAATATAGTATCGAAAAGTAAAACTGTGTCTTTCTTTGTTTCGTTACGTTCGTTTTGACAAATGGAAACCTCAAGATAAACAAAATAAACATTACCAGGTTGAATAAAATATTCAAACGTTAACGGATATTCGTCGGGTACGTTACGAATTTGAAATTCAGTTTAGTTCTCGAACATGGCGTAGCGGTGTGGTGGTTTCTGTGACGCATTATGTAAAGGTTAGAAACGGCGCGAAAATGGCACAGCGTAGCATAACGTAAGTAGGATTAAAGAAAATCACTACTGCGTAGTATACAATCCTATTTCGGCAAATTTGAAAGAACAAAGCTATTCTGTACGATTCTTGTGCTTTATTTTGGTAATAAATTGTAGGGCCTTTTTCACAAAGTCGACTACGAAGAAGAATGGCAGTGAGACAAATAATTCAAGGTATAAATAGCTTAATACTTTATTATCGCGTCAGAGTTTGTTATATTATGCTCAGATTTGTCACACTCTGCACCCGAGTGAATACATATTACATTTTCTCGCGTTCCGTGTCCGTAAATAAAATACTTCAGTTGAACGGTGCTTTGCGTTCATCGATGAAATATGTTTTTAATTGGAAATATACCGATAGCAAATCTAATGACAATGGAGAACGAGATAGTCCAGGTAATTCTAAACGAAAGCGGGATAATAGCTCGGATAACAGTGAATCTTCCAGGTGAGTAGAATCATAACTACAATTTTTAAAAGTATATTGGATGGATGATGAAATTACATATTCTTAATATTCTATAATGCTTTTAATATACCAGGTACAATAATTTTGTTTGCAGTCCTCCACTTGCTAAGAAAGTAGAAAATAGTTCTTCGAAGACATCAGGAACTACTTCACCGGTAAAGAAGGCTAATGGTAGAATAATTTTTTAATTCAAAATTTAAAGGTCAAAGAAATGTTTAAAATACGTATTATACTGTACTGATGTTTAAGGAAAAACATCTAAAATTAAGTTGTCACCTGTGACACCTAAAGAAAATGAGAAGAGGAAGGCAAAAACTCCACTTACCGCTTCTAAGAAGAAAAAGAAGGTAGAAGAGGTAAAGGGTACACCCAAGAAAAATAGTACAAAAAAGAAAACTGTGGAAAAGGAAAATATAAATCAAACAAAGAAAGATTCAGGTTTAGAACAGAAAAAGGGGACAGCTTCTTCAAACAACGAATCATCAAAATCCTCTTCAGATGAGTCTAGTGAAACGAAATCAAAACAAAATACTAAAAAAGTGGTCAAAAAAAGATTAAGGATAATAGCACCTGTTGATGATTCTAGTGACGAAGATGGTCACTTACCTGTGAAGGTATTTATTCGTTATATAAAATAAATAACTGTAACTCCTATGCAATGACTATGTATTACAATTAACAGATACCATGCAGTCCAGAAAAAGAAAGTGTTAGCGACCAAGAAACAAATGCTCCTAATGAAGAAAATGAATCTAACAATGAGATAGAGGAAGTTACCGAAAGTAATGAAAAAGAAGAAGATGAAAAACAAAAAGATGAGAAACAAGAAGAACAAACAGAAAAGCCTGTCAAGAAGATACATAATTTCTTTGGTATGCATCATCGTAGTGATAAAAGCAGATAAGGATTTTAATGTAATCATATTTTTTAGCTCCTAACAAAAAGGAAAATGGGAAAGATAGCAATATAGATAAAAAAAAGACTGCAAGCCATTCTTATAATCCTAGTATATCTAATTATAATCCAATAAAGGATGCATTCTGGAAACAGGGTGAAAAGTAATATTGTTTTATTTTTGGTGACTACTTCAATTTGTATGTAAATATAAATACATTATTTGAAATTTTCGTAGGGTTCCATACATCGCGCTAACGCGGACACTAGAACTGATAGAGGACACAAGCGCTCGATTAAAAATAGTAGAAATTCTGTCCAATTACTTTAGATCCGTTATAGCTTTAAGTCCAAATGACTTGCTTCCAAGTGTATATTTGTGTCTCAATCAACTGGCACCGGCTTATGAAGGTATGTATTAGGTCACAGCATAATTATGTTCGCTCATGTTATTGGTAATATTTTGTTTATAGTATTAATTTTATGAAACAATGAAACGATAATCTGGGATTCTTAGGAACACGTTATGACAATGTACTTACAACACTATATTTTTGTCCTAAGAATTTACATACATGATTATATTTAAGGAATTGAATTGGGTGTAGCAGAAACGAATCTTATGAAAGCTATAGCACAATGTACTGGTAGAACATTAGCTCAAATAAAAGCTGATGTACAACAAGTTGGAGATTTGGGCATTGTAGCGGAGGGAAGTCGTTCCAATCAGAGGACGATGTTTCAACCAGCCCCTTTGACAATATCAACTGTATACACTAAACTGAAGGAAATTGCTCAAATGACTGGCAATTCGGTATGAAACTTAAAAACTGATCCTAACCTGGAATTATAGCGATTGTACTGATGTGCGAATATAACATTTCTTTACAGTCTTTATCTAAGAAACTGGATAAAATTCAGACACTTTTTGTAGCATGTCGATTCACCGAAGCCAGATATTTAATTAGGTCTTTAGCTGGCAAGCTTCGAATTGGTTTGGCTGAACAGTCTGTATTACAGGTAAGTAAATCTGCATCCTAACTAAAAGATCAGAGCATTAATCATCATTACTTGCAGGCGTTAGCGTTAGCGTGCACAATGACTCCGCCAGAGCAGGGCTCACCGCCGGAAATATTGGATACAAGTAAAAAGATGTCTAGCGATGCTTTCAAGCAAAAGTATGATGAGACAGCGCTTATCCTTAAAACAACATACTGGTAAGAGTTCTTTATTACAATTGATTTTCAACCTGCACTACTAATTTTTTATTTATATTTGTAGCGAATGTCCCAATTATGATAAAATCATTCCTGTTTTACTGAAAGAGGGGATTAAGAAATTACCTGAGAAGTGCAAAATTACACCCGGTGTCCCTATGAAACCGATGTTAGCGCATCCGACTAAAGGTGTACAGGAAGTTCTAACACGTTTCGAGGGATTGAAATTCACTTGTGAATGGAAATACGATGGGGAAAGGGCGCAGATACATCTCGCTGAAGATGGTGATATTAGTATTTATAGTAGAAATCAGGAAAACAATACTAGTAAGTATCCTGATATTATTGGACGATTCAGTAAAACGAAAGGGGAAGATGTTAAAAGTTGCATCCTCGACTGCGAAGCGGTTGCTTGGGATACCGAGAAACAACAAATACTACCATTTCAAATACTTAGTACCAGAAAGCGCAAGGTAAATGAAATTGTGAAAAAATTCCTAGCGGAAAATTAACGCAGAACCTTAATTTACTGTTTTATTATAGGACGCGACCGAGGCAGATATTAAAGTACAAGTATGTGTATTTATATTCGATTTATTATACTTAAATGGAGAACCACTAGTGAAAGAACCCTTCATAAAACGTCGCGAGTTGTTGAAGACGCATTTTAAAGAATCAGATGGAGAATGGAAATTTGCAACTAGCTTAGACACCACTAAAATGGAAGAAGTACAGGACTTCTTAGACGAGTCGGTTAAGGGTGAGTCTATACCTTTATCAGGAAAATGGATAGATATTATTTGAATGATCTTTATATAGGCAATTGCGAGGGTCTCATGGTGAAAACCTTGGAGCAAGAAGCTACGTATGAGATAGCTAAACGTTCTCGAAATTGGTTGAAGTTGAAGAAAGATTATTTGGATGGTGTAGGCGATACATTAGATGTAGTAGTTATCGGAGGATACATAGGGAAAGGGAAAAGAACGGGAACTTACGGAGGATTTCTTTTGGCATGTTACGATAAAGAAAATGAAGAATATCAAAGCATCTGCAAGGTGAGCATTGTTTTCACTGTAAACATTTTTATAACACAAAACCGGTACAGTCCATCATTTTTATTTGATTTTATTTAGATTGGTACTGGATTCAGCGAAGAAGATCTTCAAAAACACACTGAATCTTTGAAAGAGCACATAGTATCGCAGCCAAAGTCTTACTATCGATACGACACGTCTCATCAACCTGATCACTGGTTTGAACCAGTTCAAGTTTGGGAAATAAAGTGTGCAGATTTGTCTCTGTCACCTGCTCACAGGGCAGCCATGGGTATCGTTGACCCAGAAAAGGGAATCTCTTTAAGATTCCCTCGATTCATTCGTATCCGCGATGATAAAAATGCAGAAGAAGCCACATCGGCGCAACAAGTAGCTTCGATGTACAGCAGTCAAGAGCAAGTCAAAAATCAAGCGTCAGGAACGAAAGCTACAGAGGAAGATTTCTATTAAATATATACGGAAAACTTTTTACGCTACTGAACGAATATTTTATATTTTTTTAAAGAAATTATTTAATTATTCGTTTAATGATTAAATAAATAAATTAAAAATATCCTCTCAGTGTTTCAGTTTTGTCCCCTTATACGATAGTCTTTATTGTTTCTTGTGTTCGTACTAAGTTGTGAGCAAATCTATTAGGAGCACATAAAGTTACCAAGCCGTTCCTTCTATCCTTTTCATACAATCGTCTTCCTCTGTTATGAAGCTCCACTGTTATCATGTGTTCCTAATAACTTGCGACCAAAGATCACAGGATTTTATAATGAAAGTTAGTAATACATCATGTTTGTCCTTCTCAAATAAAGGACTCTCTTTCTTTTATCGCTCTTCTGTCATCATGTGCTCCTAATAACGTACGAACAAAAATTACAGTGTTTTATAATGAAAGTTAGTATTACATATTTCTTGTCTTCCTCACACGATTGACTCTCTTCGCTTCAAGGCTCTTCTACCGTCATGTATTCCTAATAACTTTCAAGCACAAATCACAAGAGTTTATAACTAAAACTAGTAGTAGAATTCTGCCATTTTTCCACTATACCCTTGGAACTTTAACTCTCACTATACTTCTAGGACCTTTAAATCTCCCCAAAATGGCTCAAAAGCTCAAAACTCCAATACAACTAGACTCAAATTAAAAAAGCTCTTATTTTTAGATCTCTCGGAGCTCTGCCCAACTGGCTCGAAAGCTCGAAAGCTCGAAAGCTCGAAAGCTCGCACTATTACTATTACAGTTCAAAAAATTGAAAATTTTAGATTTTTTTACTTGGAGCGCCGTGCCAGTAGAGCTTTCGAGCTTTTGAGTCATTTTTGGGATTTATTTCAGAACGTTTCATTGTGCTCCTTTCGGGACAGTTATAAATAAAAAAACTACGAAGCAGAACTCCTACGAGAAACCTTTGGAACGCCTGCGAGAGACCTCCGGAATCGGTGTGAGGAAACCCTTAAAGCGTTGCGTCATTCGCAGTCGGTGTGAGAAACGCCTTTAACTGTTGTGAGAGACCTACGCAGTCGGTGTGAGAAACCCCTTAAACTGTTGCGAGAGACCTACGCAGTCGTTGTGAGAAACCCTTTAAACTGTTGTGAGAGACCTACGCAGTCGGTGTGAGAAACCCTTTAAACTGTTGTGAGAGACCTACGCAGTCTGTGTGAGAAACCCCTTAAACTGTTGTGAGAAACCCTTTAAACCGTTGTGAAAAACCTACGC